CTATGACTACAGAGATATGCTTCTTGAATCAAATCCAGGAAGCACTTGTGTGGTGAAAGTGACAAATTGTGATGATGGAAAAAAACTCTTTCATTCCTTTTATATTTGTTTTTCAGCTTTGAAAAAAGGATTCATTGAGGGTTGTAGAAAGTGCATTGGGTTAGATGGTTGCTTTTTGAAGGGAATATCTAAAGGCCAGCTACTTGTTGCTATTGCAAAGGATGGGAATAATCAGATGTTTCCAATAGCATGGGCTGTTGTTGGAACTGAAAGTAGAGAAACTTGGACTTGGTTTTTGAGAATCTTGAAATCTGATTTGGACATTAATGATGAAGGAGAAGGATTGACTATCATAAGTGATATGCAAAAGGTACGACTTTTATCCTCTGGTTTCAGCTTTTTTAGTCAATATTAGCTGCTATTTTCAGGTTTTTTAGCCAATATTAGCTGCTGTTTTCAGCTTTTTTAGCCAATATTAGCTGTTTTTTTAGCTTTTTTAGCCAATATTAGCTGCTGTTTTCAGCTATTTTAGCTACTGATTTTACAAGTTTTAGTTAATGTGTTTTAAGTAATTTTAGCTACTAATTTAAGTCTCTGTTTTAACCTCTGTTTTCATCTCTTATCATCCAATTTTAACTACTGATTTCATGAGTTTTTTAGCTGATGTGTTATAAGTAGTTTTTAACTATTGATTTCAGCATTTTGTAAGGACCTTTTGATAGTTCATAACAACATTTTATCTTGTCCACAAAATTAGAAACTCTAGTGGTACTTTGTTATTCAACTTGTTTAGCTACTGTTTTTCTTTTTTTTCTACTATTTTCATCCCTTTTAGCTTTAGTTGTTAAGTGATGTTAGTCTTAGTTGTGCGGACTCTTCACTTTTGATGCCACACTTGTATTGAATTAACAAAAAATACACTACTTTTGGCTAATTCAACATGCCCTCATTGACATTTTTGAAGAGTCCAAGCAACATATATTTTAGTTATTATTTTGAGTGATTTTAACACATAAGTTTTTCAGGGATTATATTTAGCTGTTTAGGAGTTGCTTCCAGAATGTGAACAAAGAATGTGTGCAAGACATATACTTGCAAATTGGTCAAAAAACTGGAAAGGTGTTGAGGAAAGAAAGAGGTTTTGGGCTTGTGCTAGATCAACATTTGAAGCTGAACTCAGGAAGAACTTGGATAAATTAGCACAATTAGGCAAAGATATTTCTAATGACTTGGTAAACTTCAATCCTAATAGATGGTCCAAAGCACAGTTTAGGACATCCTCAAAATGTGACAGTGTGGATAACAATATGGCTGAAAGTTTTAATGCTTGGGTGTTGGGTGCTAGGCACAAGACTATCATCAGTATGCTTGAAGAAATAAGGAAAAAGGTAATGAATAGATTCACTAAAGTGACAACATTTGTAAATAGTTGGACTCATGACATTTCTCCAATGGCAG